GCGAGAGCTGCTGTATGGGGAGCATTCTTGGTCCGATTCTTCAGTAACCTGCGTTCAAGGATGATATGTCCACTCTTTTTACAATAATTACATATATTTCTTTGTTTGCAGTGATTGTGAGTATGCCCTAGCAAATGGCAATGGTGACATTTGATTTCAGACTGTGGAACACGACATTGAAACTGAGGTCGGCCGACCGCAAATGCCGTCCCATCAGCAACAGCTTCGTTGGACGCAGCTGGCTCTCCTTCCCCGGGGTGCATATCCAAGTGAGCTTGGGTTCGAAGCCTTGTTTCTTCTCTAAGAAGCTGCCCCAGCACACCATCCATCTTCAGATCCTCACAGTTAACAAGAGTGGAGCGAATGACTTCGAATTCAGGACAGAGTCGCATGAGAAACTTGAACAACCTCGATTGGGTTCTTTGTTCCTTCACTTCAACTGATGCTTCCTTGGATCGAAGAGATGCGGTGAATAGGTCTTGTTAAGTCCAAAGCTGCTGCGCCAAGTTGAAGTAGGTTGAGATGTCTTTGTCGCCTTGGGTCAGCTGCTGCATCTCACACTCGATCTCGAACTGTCGGGAGATGTTGATGGAGGTTTACGTTGTGGAGAGATTTTTTCCACATCTTATTTGATGTCGGCAACAAACGAAGGCCAAGAACAATTGCTGGATCAACTGAATTGAGCAACCAGTTCTTGATCTAAGCATACTTCTGTGTCCACTTGGAAATAGCCTCGGCAGCAGCAAGATGAGAGGTTGGCTTGGGTTCCTTGCCAGTCAGAATGCCAAGCAAACCCTTCCCTTCGACAAAAACCTAAAATTGAAACTCCCATAATGCATAATTCTTGGGCGTAAGTCGAACATAAATTTGATCAGAATCTCGATGCTCTGATATCATGTTAATAAAACGATAGCAGAAAACTAAATGCAAGATCAGTTTACGTGGTATCCCTTATAATCAAGACTAGTCCACGGGAGAGACGAAGAAGCTCTTCAACTACCGATATATTTCGATGGTCTTTCTCATACAATCAACCCTCCATTATATAGGCTAGGAAGCCCAGTTTATGTCGTCTATAATTCTCCAACTGGCTAGAGAAAGAGACCAAAGCTATCTCTACTACCCATGTACAGCTCACGTAGCTATCTCTACCTCCCATGTACCGCTCACGTATAAGTCTCCTAATTACAATATATGAATACAAGCATAATTATCATTATAATGATAATATAATAATCATAATTATCAACAAATATAATTTCCTTACTTTTCATTATATTTGCACCGCTACTTTTTCATTCAAACAACAATTTACCCCTCCACCTACAACCTCCACCAATTTGTACTCCCCGTGCAATTTGCCCATTAACTTACACCTCTCTCGAATTTGCACCCTTGTTACCAAACATAGTATGTCAATTATTTTCATTTTCAAATTATAGATGCCAACCTCTTAAAGATTTTCCTTCTTTAAATTTTGTTCATTGGAAATAATATAATTTGATTACTTTAAGAAAAATAAAGAATATTGGCTATATAATTAAAGAATATCCCACAAAAGTTTCCCATTTAACACACATAAGATGGAACAAAACTACAATCAACGCCCCATTTTGCCAATGAACTGCAAAATGTATGCATGAATGTGGGGACAGGTTACGGTGATTACTATAAAATAGTAATCACCGTGGTTACTAAGGGCAAATTGGGTATAACAAAAAATTTATTAATGATCTTTTTTAATAAATTACATTTTAGGAAATTACATAAATATATTAAATACAATTTTTCTCACTCTCTCACTTCCACAATTTTTCAGTCATATCTCTCTTCCTTCTTTTTCTCAATCTTTCCTTGATTTCGTTGCTGCAACAACAAAACAATAAATCAATACCAATCCATTAAAAAAATACTACCATTGTACAAAACATCAATACCATTCAAGAAATAAAACACTACCATTTCAGAAAACATCAATACCATTGCAGATTTAATCACTACCAATGCGACAAAATCAATACCAATGTAACAAAATCAATACCAATGCGACAAAAATAATACCAATGCGACAAAAATAATACCAATGCGACAAAAACAATACCAATACGACCATAACACTACCACTACGGGAAAAAATGACTACCATTTAAAAAAAATCACTACGGAAAAAAATGACTACCATTGAGGTAAGCCTTCACCTCCAGTATACCAGAACCGACGGCAGCCGGAGCTATGAATGCCGTGATGAGGGTTGCAAAAAGAGTCAATACCAAGTTGATCGGAGAGGGGAAGGGGTGGAGGCGATGGCGGATTTGATGGCGTCGGAGAGTGTGGTGGAGTGCGAGACGTTAAATATAACATCCCGAATTTTGGGTTAGGTTCGACCGAATGATTGGATCGATGGTTACGTACGAAGGGTTGCAACCGCGGTTTATGAATAATAATAATAATAATAATAACTATATTATTATTTAAAAAAAAATACATATAAACCGAGAGGGAGCTCGGCCCTCAAGGTTTTCCAAAACCCTCGACTCCATCCAATTTCCGCCGCCCAAGACGCTCCCTTGCGCGTCTCACCGCCGGAAGCACTTGTCCTTTCCCCTCGCAAGCGGACAAGTCCATCCTTCTATCACATCGTCATCACCAATTTCACTACCGCCAGATAATGGATGGTCCAGGTGAGATCGCCTTCTTGTGGGGAAGTAGATAGTCCAGGTGATGGCGGCAGGATCTTATGGCCAATCGAGTGTTTGGATTTATTTCCTTTGAGTCGGAGGATTGGGTCGATAGAGTGTTGCACAAAACATTTCATGATTTGAACGGGAAGCAAGTAGAAGTGAAGCGGGCTCTTCCTAAAGATGCCAAGGGTGAAGAACATCTCGTCTGCTCGTGCCTGTTTTGATGAGATGCCGTGCAAAAATGTGGTTTCATGGAGACCAGGGCACAACAGCCTTATCTCGAGGTTTTGACTTCAGTATTAAGGTGAGTGTAAAGGGGGTAAATTCTACGCCTTACGTATTTTTTTAAGTATTATGATTTTAAGTATTTTAGCGATTTGGTTATCGTTGCTTGGTTATGTGTATGATTGATTGTTTGTGCTTTGCTTGAGTTAGGGTATGAGATGATTTCGTGCTATTTGAGGTGATTTTGTTTGAGCTATGCTTGAAGTGAGTGTTTATTAAGTACCTTGAAATTTTTACGAGTATAAGTTATTATTAAGAGTAAGAAGCAAGTTCTTTTTAAAGAAGTAACTCACCTTCAAGAAGGTGAAGTCGTTTTAAGTGTTTTTAGTCACTAGCGCCAGTCCGTTGCCTTTTGAGACAGTTTGAGTTAGAGCAGCAGTTATGCTCTTGAGATTTTTAAGGTGGGCAGCAGTTATGCCCTTGAGAATTGTGGTGAAGAGCCACTACGATAAGTTTAAGATGTTAGGGGGATGAATCGTTACGACTTCCCTAACTAAGTTTAAGTTTAAGGAAAGCCTGAATGGCTTCTCATACGTATGAGTTGGCAACCGGACTAGCTAGTGAGGGATCCCCGTGTCAGTCAAGTATTTAAGTCAAGATTTGAGTTTTAAGAGAGGAGAGTAACTCCAACTCCCTCAAAGTTTAAGAGTTAAGATTTTAAGATTGGAAGTACAACCAACTTCCACTAGCTAAAGTAAGTGTTTAAGTAAAGTACTCAAGTAGTAGAAGTATTAAAACGTAAGGGCGTAGACTGACCCCATCTCACTCACCAGTTTGAAGAGCTAGAGAAAGAGCTAGAGGAGCAGTATTGAGCAGCGAGTTCGAGGGCAGCCAGCTAGAGGAGAGCAGTATAAGCGTTACGGATGATGCTTAGTCAAAGATTTCAGTAGCAACCACTTCAGAGATTATTAGTTATTTAAATTTATGATTATGAGTACAGACTGGAGATTATTTTGAGATCAGATTGAGATTTTAAAGTTTGAGTTTAATTTGCCCACGTGTTAGGGCTTCACTTTGAACTACAAGTGTGTGTTTTTAGTATTTTATTTATGAAAAATTTTCCCGCTGCAATTTAAGGTTTGAACACTTTATTTATCAAGGGCATCTTAGTAAAAGTAGTACCCGGCCGGGTTAGGGTGTTTCATTTTGGTATCAGAGCCGGTCTTCCTCTGTTCCTTGGTATCCAAGGAATACTGGAATATCGGTCTCGATTTTTAAAGGTTGTGTTTTAAAGGAATGGAAAACGAGTCAAGTGTCTTCTTTAAAGAGTCTATAGAATCTCCAGTCTACTCTAATCGTATTAAGGTAAATAACTAAAGTTCTAATAGAAGAGGTTCCAATCGTAAGGGAATACCTCTAGGATTACTCAAAATTGAGTAACCACCCTAACCTATTCCTATGGGCAGCGGTTGAAAGTATTTTTGAAGAGGTCGGGTTTATTACAATTGAGCGCCGTACAAAATAAGGACAAACATAAAGTAAAACAACAACAAAACAAAAAAGGGAAAACCCTTCCAGTTCCAACAATCCCAAAAAATAGTCCGAAACTATAAATATGCGCTTATTCATAAAAACACATATTGGTTCATGCCCACAATCACAGATTGAGTCTGACCAAGTAGAGACCCCCAGATCCTAACTCTAATGCCACGATATGATGTCGCAAGAGAAGGAGCTTTACAACGATGGCCGACTAATGATGAATGACATGGATCAAGTCTCTGTCTTCTAATGTCCCAACCGCGTCCAAACCAATTCAATTAACAGACTTTTTTGCATATCTGAATCACATGTGGTGCGAAGTATGCAAGTATACATAAATTAAATATCAACATAAAAGTATAAAAAAATAACAATTGAATTGTAAACCAAACAAAGAATAGGGCAAAACTAATGTAAAAGCCAAAACCCCGATAGAGATAAAGTAACCTTAATTATCGAGAAAGAAAAAAAGGTAACCATTTCCATATTGGAAAAGGAAAACGGGATATACGTGTGTGTGTATATATAACAGGCGAACCCCACCTGTAGCCTTGACTCAAAATCATTATGGGGAAAAACAAGCGCAGGAGAGTCACGCTGCCAAGTTCTCCAACAGCTGCCGCCTCCATAATCTCCGACCTCCCTGACAACCTCCTCCACAACATTTTCTCTTTCCTCCCTCCCAAAACCGTCTCCCAACTCTGCATCCTCTCCAACCGATTTTACTCCGCCTGGAATTCCACCCCTTCTCTTTCCTTCCACCACTCCGACGCCAGCGGCGGCGGAGTCAGAGAAGTGGAGGAGAAGCGAGAGCTTTTCATCGACTACATCAGCTACACCCTCGCCCGCCGCGCCCCTTCCTTCACCCTCGACGAATTCCGAATCCAAGCCCCCGCCCTCGCCCTCCACTCCTCCCCCGCCTATCACGACGATCGCGTCGACGCCGCCATCGATCGCGTCCTGTCCCGCGGCGGCCTCCGCGTCCTCGATCTGGAGCTCGGCACCGGCGCCGACCTTCACAATTATCTCCTCCCACCCGGAATCCTCGCCCCCGACAGCAGCAACAACGCCTCCCTCACCTCCCTCCGCCTCTCCGGCTTCCAGCTCGATCCGGCCCGTCCCTCGCTCCGCCTGGCGGATTACCCTCACCTCGAGTCCCTCACGCTCCGCCGGACCCTCGGGATCGAGAGCCTCGAAATCTCCTGCCCCAAATTGAAATCCCTAGAAGTAGACTCATGCACCGGCCTCGTAACCCTAACCCTAGACCCCCAAACCTCGAGCCGCCTCGAGTCCTTCTCGTTCGTCGGCAAAAGCCGCGACAAGGGCCCCTACGACCTCAAAATCCCCGCCGCCTGCCCTTCCCTGACCCGAATCTCGGTGTCCAACGTGTCGATCACGGGTAAATGGGCCGCCGACGTGGCAGCCAGGCTGCGGAGCCTGGAGTCGTTGATTCTCACCCAATTCGATCCCCTAAGTGGGGATCTGGACCTGTCCGGTGGCAGCGAGAATCTCCAGCTGCTCCAGCTGGAGATCTCATCCCGGAGACCCGTCGGGGTCCGAGTCCGGGCCCCGAATCTCCATACACTTAAGGTCGGTTACAAGGACGAGAAGTTCTGTAGAGAATTCGACATCTCGGGGTGTGGGTCCCTGGAGAAGCTAGAGCTGTTCCAGGTCTGTATCACGGGCGAGTGGATCGATGCCAACCTGCGGAAGTTGGGAGGGCTCAAGTTTCTGGAGCTGAGAGGCTGCAGCCACCTGGAGGGGGTGAGAGTCCACCACCGGGGGCTGGAGCGGCTCGTGATGGAAGGGTGCAATGAGCTGAAGCATATGGAAATTGTGGCCGACAGTTTGGGCGAGTTCAGGCACAGCTGCAGCAGCCTCGTGCCCCGTGCGGCCGCAATCTGCGGCCGCGGCCTGTTGGTCGCCACGCTCGGGCTGCCTTCAGGATCGTTCGGCGAGGAGCGGCTCGCGGCGTCGAGGGAGTTTCTGAAGTCGTTTGGTCAGTGTAGGCATCTGACCCTAGTGGCGGCTTCTGCAAAGGTAATTATTAATTATGTACCGTTTCGAATGCTGCGAATTGTAATATGTTGCTGCCTGTGTTTTCGGATTGATATATTTGTGTGTGTTGGCGTCCAGGATTTGATTATTGATGCGATTTTGAGGGACGGGAAGACTGCTCCGATGTATGATTTGAGGAGCTTGAAGACGGTGGTGAAAGATTACCCTCGGAGGAGCGGTGGATTTGTTACTTTGGTCGACAGTCTGTTGTGGCTTGCTCCTCACGTCAGTGTACTCTCTTTGCGCTTTCGGGACAAGAGAAGGACCCTCAAGGTACGTCCTACGTCACAATTTATCATGTCAAAATGTACTCTCTTAAAATTGAGGGCTAGAATATATGAATGCACCTATTTCTAATTCGTTTCTTTGTTGGATCTCCATCTTGCAAGCGCAGCTGAATTACTATGTGCAACGAGACGCTGCGAGTGGTAAGGACGAGCTGCTCTGCTGCGACAGATGGTGGCCAATCAAGTGCTGGCGCCATACCTTAAGGAAAGTCACATTGGAGAACTTCGAGCCCTGGGAGGAGGCGGATTTGGTCCAGTTTTTCAGGCTGAGCGCAGCAAGGTTGGAGGCCGTTTACGCTGATGCGCGCACCACCATCTTTGACGCGAGGGCGAATTGATCAAATGTGGCCGGGCAAGCAGTTGTTGGCTGGAGGTGCCCATCTGTAAGTTCGGTTATTTGAGCATATGCATTAGTGTATCTAGTAACTTGTTTTACCATGTACCTGTATTTCTAGCATGAAAGAGTTTAGTAGAATCAAAAAGATCTAAATTGTTGTGAACTACAGTTTGGTTTAGCGATAATAGTGCTGAATTTGAGAAACTTCAAATTCGAATTCAAAGATAAGACTTTCGTATCAACATACCCCGTTTAGTAGCATGTTAGAAACCATGCCCTTGTTTTTTTTTTTTTACCTTTGTGTTCAAGATTTGGGGTGAACCAATCTTTAATGCACTTTTCTCCATTTTGCAAAGTGTACCTAGACAGAGTTAGGTAGCATGTTTTATTTCTTTCGTGTATGAGAGACACAGGTTCCTAGTCCCTTCTAGTTAACACTTTCAGCAAGTGCTACAACGAGTTAGTTTGACACTCAGGTCCTTGATTTTTTTAGTATCTTCCATTCCATCCAAGATCACGTTACCATTACAACCAGCAGCCTACTAGAAAATATAGGGAGATAATAGTTATAATGTTAAATCATACTAAACTACGGTTGAAAAATGCGCTTGGTGTAAGGTCCTAACGTATAGCTTCTGTAGCCGTTGCCTAATTCTACCTAGACGTTGGAAAAATAGTTGTTTGTATGATGAACCCTAGGGGTTTGTTTTCATCAGAACTACGCAGGTAACGAACAATAGAACGATAGTGAATGGATAGGTAAAATTCTTGCCACAATCAAGATGTTTACTTGATTGATAAGAGACTTGTTAACACAATTCTCGACTTTTCAACAGAAAAGCTTGAAGAAGGATCTTGTAGTAGATATGGAATCCACACGTAGCTAAAACAATCGATGATTCTCGAGCCAAAGCTCCAAGAACATGAACAAACTCCTCGGAGTAATTTTATTCAACAATTCTCTAAACAATTACAATGTAAATAGAAGGCTTTTTATAGCCAAAGATAACCTAATACAAACTTAAATGAATAAGGAAACAAATAAGGTAAAAATTTACTCTAAAAAGGACACAAACTCGGCCAAAACTCTCTTTCTTCCAGCTCAAGCAAGCTGCCTTGTAGCATAGGCAAGATGCTAGAAAAACAGGTTTCGTAGCAATTTTGAACCTTTCGATCTAAGCCTTCTAGGTATGCTTTCAATCATCCAATGCCATGTATGTTTAGTAGAACATATCTAATCCCTAATCCTTTTGCGTTCTCCTAATCGAAATATGTCGTGCATGCATTAGGGGTAGTTACGATTGGCTGTAATTTATATTGGGCCCGGCCCAACATCCTAGTCATAATGGAAAACAACATCCTAGTTATAGTGGAAAACGACAAGAACCCGTTTGTTGATGGAAGAGCTGAAGCTAATCAATTTCTCTGCAAACATTAAAATCCGTAGCAACACTAGCCTTCTCCCCATCCCCTACCAGAATGATGCGATCAATGAAATTGGCGCTCTAATTCACCAAGGACTAAATGACACTTGTTGAACTTAATTGGATGCTAATTTGTGTATCACAAGTGGTTAAGGTTTTGCTTTATTATATTTGAGAAAGAAAATAGAACTTATTGGTTTGATTAGACACATTTGTACTTGTTGGAAAGTATGTTAGTGATTAACTACATAACTAACCGCTAACTGAACCGATAGAGATGTTTAACCGATAAGCTTATCGGTTTGATTATCGATATGAGGTTTTTGCTTATTGGTTAACCGCTAACCGTCATCTGGTAAGTGGTTAACAGACACCAAACCGATCACCACCCTTAATCGTTAGTCAGTGGTCTTCACCGTCCAACATAACGGTAAACTCTCGGGTTTGGAAAATTAGATAAGGTCTCTCAAAGATATTGGGAGGTCTTTCATCGGGTTCCAGTGAATCTCTTTAAGATTAGATAAGGTCTCTCAAGAAACATTCACAAGAAATAACCATCAACTGACGATATTTAACACCATCCTTTAACATACATCATGGGGTTTTCAACGCATCATAGTTGCTTTATTTTACAGCAACAAACTCCTCGGAGTAATTTTATTCAACAATTCTCTAAACAATTACAACGTAAATGGAAGGCTTTTTATAGCCAAAGTTAATCTAATACAAACTTAAATGAATAAGGAAACAAATGAGGTAAACGTTTACTCTAAAAAGGACACAAAACTCGGCCAAAACTCTCTTTCTTCCAACTCAAGCAAGCTGCCTTGTAGCATAGGCAAAATGCTAGAAAAGCAAGTTTCGTAGCAATTTTGAGCCTTTTTTAGTCTTTCAATCCAAGCCTTCTAGGTATGTTTTCAATCATCCAATGCCATGTCTTTTTAGTAGAACATATCTACTTTCATGTGGTATGAAGCTCCTGACTCGATTCTCAATCATACTTCTCGAATTGACCTCCAAAGTAGGCTTCATGTCACGTTTTACTGTTTTGAGATAGCAACTTTAAGGCTTTGGAAAATGACCTTAATGACATGTTCTGGATCCACCAATCCTTCCATATTGAAGAAACACACGTGGTATTCAATACAAACCCTTCTTCTTGCATTTTCATCGAGCCAATTGTAATATATGAATCTCCAAATTTGGCACCATAAAACTGTTTTCACACTTGGCCAAATCTGCCCCTTTTCTTGCCAATTGAGATTGCTTTTTTGTCAAGCAGTTGTAACTTGTAGAATTGGCTAATTTGGCTTCTATCATTGGCAGTTTATGCAGGTGGAGGTTAGTGGTCCGCCGGGTATTCAAACCAAGAGAGTCTGGATTACTTAAGTCGAGATTCCAGACTTGTCAAGAACTTTCCGTAGTATATCTTTCAATCTGAACAAATTGAGAACATATAATCTGAACTAGCTGCGTACTAGGGGGAATCATACCTGGATGACCTTTGACATACTTGAAAAACCAGAACATTTTTTGCTTTCTATTTATTTTGCGATTGAACAACTCACTACACTTACTTTGCTAGATAATAGAAGTTTGCGGAGTAGGAAGTAGATCTAGACCCCGGGTTGATAAATTAAACTTCACCACTATTTTACATTTCTATTCCACGATTATACTTGGTCATAGTTTAGTGTTGTGTTTTAACGAGTCAGGGAACAAGCTCCCAGCCATCATCAGCTCGGAATGACCCCCGACCAAAAGAGCAGTCTGGTGGTTCTATAGAAGAAGTATACTCGGGCCATGGCGGGAAGATCACTGATATGAGAGGCATTAGCCCATCCTTCTACTCCCACAAAATTTTGATGGAGGATGAGGTTAAGCCAGTTAGGCACTTGCAGCGGAGGTTGATTCCGAACCTGAGGCAGTGGTCCAGGCTGTGATTGTGAAGCTGATGGATGTTGATATCATCTTTGCTACATCTGATAGAAAATGGGTTAGCTCCACTCAGGTGGTTTCGAAGAAATGCGGGATGACTATGGTGCCGAACGAGAAGAATGAGCTGAGCCTAATGCGGACGGTGACAAGGTGCCGCCTGGATGATGCCACCAGTAAGGACCATTTCCTGCTCCCTTTCATTGACCAGCTGATGCGCGAGAGGCTGGTGGGACACGGGTTCTACTGCTTCTTAGATGACATGTCTGGGTACTTTCAGTTGATGTCGTCATCGGTAAATGTGGAGTGGAGCTCGAGTGACACGCAGGCGAGGGCGGTGAGCGTGGGCCGTCCAGAAGATTGAGGATGGTGGAGTGGTTCTTTAATTAATTTACTTTTATTTTTATTAATTGAAAAATCATCAATTTAGCGGTCAACTATTATTCTTAACTGCTACATAGGATGAAGTTAGCAAACTTGTGAGGGAGTCAGGACAGGCTGTTCGAATTCGTCTGCTGCGGCGGAGGCGGAGAGGCTCTGGTGGTGAGAAACGAAGCGGAGAGAGAAATAGGGAGCGGAGATTAGAGCATTCCAGCGTCTGTATACGGATTTGCATCGGAAGGCTGATTTAGGGCCCGGGAGTCGAATTGGAATTTTGACGAGGAGATCTTCATCGTCTCCGAGAGTGCTGAGGATGGAGGAAGGCCGGGAAGCAATTAGTCTTTTGCTGCTATAGTTCTCGGTGGCCATGATTAGCTGTAGACGGCGAGCTCAATTGGGAGAAGAATACAGAGAGGCTATGAGGCCAAGAAATCCCCAATCCTTTTGAGTTCTCCTAATCGAAATAGGTCGTGCATGCATTATGCGTAGTAACGATTGGCTGCTATATATATTGGGCCCGACCCAACATCCTAGTATAAAGGAAAACCACATCCTAGTCATAGTGGAAAAAGACAAGAACCCGTTTGTTGATGGAAGAGCTGAAGCTAATCAATTTTCTCTGCAAATATTAAAATCTGTAGCAACACTAGCCTTCTCCCCATCCCGTACCAGAATGATGCGATCAATGAAATTGGAGTTCAAATTCACCAAGGACTAAATGACACTTGTTGAACTTAATTGGATGCTGATTTGTGTATTACAAGTGGTTTTGGTTTTTCCTTATTATATTTGTGAAAGAAAATAGAAGTTATTGGTTTGATTAGAAACATTTTTACTTGTTGGAAAGTATGTTAGTGATTAACTTCATAACTAACCTCTAACTGAACCGATAAGAGATGTTTAACCGATAAGTTTATCGGTTCGGTTATCGATATGAGGTTTTTGCTTATTGGTTAACCGCTAACCGCCATATGGTAAGTGGTTAACAGACACCAAACCGATCACCACCCCTAACCGTTAGTTAGTGGTCTTGAACGTCCAACATAACAGTCAACTCTCGGGTTTGGAAAATTAACTAAATTTTAAGGTTAGTTCAGACCACGATGTTATACATTGAAAAGATTAGCCAATATGTTCGTTGGGGTCGCATGAAAATATGGAAATCGCCGTTATATTATCAAAGGGTTTTGCCCACATAGTCTCACATACATAAATAGTAAGCTCATCTCTAAACATGCATGAACTCGTTCGTACAATCGTTCAAGTCATAGTAAATGAATTGATCATACCTAGTGATAGATGTGGCAAATGAGATTTGTCGATTCATGGATTGAATCAATGAATTCAAGTGACATCTAGACTTGGAACTGTCAATTTTTTTTATAAAAAATTTAGACACTAAAGTGTCATTATAAA